ATATATATATATATATATATATATATATTACATCAAAAGACACCCCTCTTTTTTCAGCGTCAACTGAAATATTCTACCATTATATTTAACCTGAATGACAGGAGCACGTTCATACCTCTAGAACAAGAAGCTTCCGGTTGGTTGTGTCTCTTGCTAGCTCAGCGTGTTTTCTGTCGTCATTGGGAATGTTGTATCTTCTGATATCAAACACCATCTGAAGTTCCTCCAGATACAGCAACAACTGGAACTTCTCAGTATAATTGTCCCAACACAAAGGTCTCTCCAACAAATGACTTAAAAAAAAAAAAAAAAAAAAAAAAGTTTAATAGAGTATATTCGCATTATAACCTTTTTTAGGTAGAAATTTATCAAATAACCTTTTCTCATTAGCGAGAAAGTTTCGAGACGGGTGAGTAGGTTTCCTCAGTAGCTGAATGAGGTCGTTCATGTATGGTGGTGTCGGGTACTTTTTTAAGTGAACCACATTTTCCAGTTGCATCACAGCGAGTCTGCAAGGTGAGAAAAAGAAATAAAGATGAAAACAAATCAGTCCAAATCAAACCAAAGCATACCTTTTAGTAATAATTTTATGTAATATAAACCATCGTGGGTGTTATCAAGAGCATCCGGGGCCTCGTAAATATAAAGCATTTCTATGCACAAAAAATCCCGCAGCACAGTTTTCTCCAACTAACCCGTAAAGTCTAAAAATGAATGTTGTGTGAAAGCGTGCAGCAATTTTTCAATCCACAATAAAAATATTTAAAAAACTAAAACTTAACCAAAGAAACACAATTTTGACTCTATTCAGTTAGTTTAAAATGAAAGACAAACCTACAATAGTAATTTTCTTCCATGGGTTTGTGCTTTTAAGATTCAAACCAAAAGGATCAAACGAAATAAAATTTAGCTTCATATAATAATGTAATATACAAAAACCATGAAAACAGTCTCAGCAAGATGAGTCTGTAAATATTCCTCAGTATAGGTCATGTAAAAGTGCTTATATATGTGCGCTGAGTTACATAAAATCAATTTTTATTCTCAAAAGGCTATTAATTCCTTACAAATTAGAGAAGATGATTAATCAAGTAGATATGGTGTAGATAATCTCACATATGCATACATAGCTGCATCAAGGTGTGTGGCATTGTGCAAGGAGGGTGCATGTGTTCAGTGATCCTGCTGACCTGCTGGCATGTGATGATATCTGTTTTAGATTGTCTTATATAAACCAGAGTCCTGCATGTGTCAAGATTACCATAATCATTACTTTTTAAAACCTGGGCGTTTAAACCCGGGCGACCCAACCCCTAATAACAAAGTGTACACACAGCAATTTAAGTCCTCAAACACAACATTCTTTATTTTTCCAGCTGCAGCAGAATACTGTCTCAATAATAGAGGCAGTAAAGAACATTGCCTCACACTCGCAACTAGGGTTGCCTTGTTGCTAAAAAACTTAATGTTATCTGGATACAGTGAACCCTCGCTATAACGCAGTTTACTTTTCACGGTCTCGCTGCTTCACGGATTTGCATCATGCATTGTTAAACTTTATTGTCAAACATAATTGATGGTGGCATGTCGGTTTATAAGGATCTATTGGCCCAGAAGAAAAAAGAGCGACAACCACCGATAACTATGTTCTTCTCTCCAAAAAACACACCTGCCACAGAGCAGAGTCAGAAATCAGCGGCTCCGTCAGAACAGCAGTGAAATACTGTACTTTACTGTACACATGAGTCACTATTTGTGCAACTGTACTTTGTATTTTTTTTCATAATCATTTTTCATTTTCAGTTCCAATTCGTTTTCATTTTCAGTTCCAATCCATCCCGGTGGGGTGATGCTGATCCCCGCAATATTAACCCTTCAGTTCGTATTGATGATTAAAATTATTATATATTTATTTATAACTATATTATTTTACAGTACAGTAGTTATTTAAAAAATAATAACAATAACAACAAACGTTTATACAGTACTTTTATTTGTTAAACAAATGCTTTGGCCTGTAAAAAGTTTTTGTTCCTTGTTTTCAATGTTTTATGGAGTATTTCATTGTATAATAACTTTAAAAAAAATAAAGATTTCGCCTATCGCGGGTTCTTTTTGGAACGTAACCACCGTGATAAACAAAGGTTCACTGTATTCTTAAAAATTTTAATTAAGATGTAGAGTTAATAAATAAGAAATTATAAATAATAAGTTTCATGTTGTAACTCTGTATGACACTTGCCTGCATTTTGTTTTTTTATATCCGTGCCCGCACCTGTTAAATAATGTAGGTAGTTTTTCTACCTGCAGATGTACGTTTTATAAAGATACCCACCAGATGCCGGTGGGTACCCGACCCGCTGACGGACACACCTGTATGTTGCTTAAATACATAATACTTGCAGTAAATGCTTAATAGATACTTATAAGATTACAATTTGAATCGTAGGACCGTTCTCCAAATGGAATCAGCATTCCAATTACTTTTACAAATAGAAAACATCTTCATTACAAGGCTGTACATATACCAGTGATGCACAAGAGTCTCCCACGAATGTAGCGGGACATTAGCTGCCTCAACACAGGATTCCTTTATACTATAACCGTTATTACTTTTAATCATTCAAATAACAGTTGTACTGGGAACATACTTCAGACAGGCTCTGTGTGGCAGGGCTGCCCTCTATGTGTTTTTATCAATTTAATTTTGGTGAAGTCCTTAAAGGTTTTAAACATTTACTGTACTTCACACAGTCGCTGATGTCATTTATTGAGTTGTTGAATGGCTGTAATAAATGTCCCTGAGGTGTGTTCATGAAGTCTATCACTGACAGACTGATAGCATAGTTGCCATGGTTACTTAGTTACAAATACTCAAAACTTTTGTGGAAACAGATAACCTCTAAGTTTTTGAGTAAGTAACTTAGGATATTAAGATTGAGATACATTTTTCACATCATGATGTAAATGCAGTAAATATGTAAGTACTTTAAACTTAAATATTTTAACTCAGGTAACAACTTAGGTATGGACTCGTCAAAGCGGGTCGGGTTCGACTCTCGGTATCGCAACAAAATTTACTACATATAGTTCCTTTGTACTTGTGACAGTATGGCGACAATAAACTTGAATTCTATTCTATTCTAATTATTTGGGTGTATACTTTCAGTGTATTTATAATAATTTGGATATGTATTTAGGGGCTGGAAAAAGAAGGGTGAAAATATACATGAGCAATGCCTCTTAAATTGGAATAATAGACCAATTACTTCATTATTCAAACTCCAAGTAATTTGCATGAAGCACCTGATGTTTGGGGTCATATGTTAATGGAGAGTATGTTGAGAAAAGGAACGTACCTCTCAGGTGGCTGCCCATCCTCAATCTTGCAATCAGGTTCTGGGATCCAGTCAGGGAGGCAGCGAGGCTTGAAGGGCGCTATAGGGGCCAGCTCCAGTCCTAAATCAGTTATACACTGAGCCTCGATGATCCGCACAATATGGAAGGCAGCAGTGGTTGGCTCCAAGTCTGGTTTGAATTCAAATGCCAGTGTAGCTGGAAAAAACCCAACCAGACTACATTGGAAACTGACCTCGACTTCATAGCTGTCACCTGAGAAAAGAACAAAACAGGAAATCTGATTTATTACACCATTAATACTAATTTTATACAGTTTTGCTAAAATAAAGATGAATTCGTTTTTGTTTTTTTCTGTTATTGCATTACCTGGATTTAGAAGTAGGGGTTGCAGTCTGGTCACCCTTTTTTCATCACGTAGAGTTAAGCACCTAAGCCAGTGCAGTGGTGTGTAGTAAGTAAAATACAAAGGCTGATCTCCTGTGTTTTCCACATTCAGCTTGACTGTATACTGAAAAAATATAATATAAATAAAAGGGTTTAGATATGTAAAATGCCAAATGATTCCAGACAGAGAAGGGCAGCAATCGTACCTCATATGTGTTTTTCACACACAGGACAAGTTTGCCGTTCTCAAACGGACAGTCAGAAGTGATGCTGATACCATGTTTATCAGAGAGCAACATGGAAAGATACCTAAGGTCCAATAAAGAGCAAAGGTTAGAAAATAATTGTACAGCTCAGAGTTTAGTAAAGAATTAATGCAGGCTGCTAAGGATATCTGCTCAGTCACAAGAATTCTGTTTTGCTTTTTTTCTTTCTAATTTATGCAAACATAAAAGCAATCACAGGTGAATGGGATTTCTAAAGAAATGTATTTGTTTTGAAATGCAATATTTTTTTTTCTTTTTTTAAGGAACCAGGGAAAATACTAGGAGAGTTCTGTCTTATTACCTTTCCACCTTCAGTATGCTCATCAGCTCACTGGCCAATTTTCTCCTGGCTCTGACTCCGGTCACTGCCTCATCTGCTGACTTGGTGTCTGTTGAGGCATCAATGCTATCTGACCTGCTTGGCTCAGGTGGTGGGTTCTGGGTCTTGGGTGTGCACCACTGGTTCAGGTATTGAGCTCTGACCTGCAGAAATTTAATCAGACATTTATCTTGAAATGAAAAGAAAGACACACCTCTTGATTACTTTTGGCCTCCATAAGAGGCTGTAAAACAAAACAAAAGTCTGCATGGTTGAAACCTGGAGATTTTTTTTACCCTGATCTCTCATTAGAAGCTCTTACTGTCGTGAGCCAACAAGCTAATGGAGCAAGCTAGGGCTGCAACTAACATCATTTTGGAAATTGATTAATCTGTCGATTATTTTTTCAATTAACTGATTATTAATCAGATAATCAAAGGTTCCTTAAAGAAGAGTTTTTACTAAATTAAACCAGGTTAAAGTGAAATGTTTCCACTTGAGGAGTTCAGGATTGAACATATTAACAAACAAAAGAGTTTTATTTATCTGAACTTACTATTTATCTTAATTTAACTTACTGCTCTAAGTGGGTCGCTCTATAAGCTGAAGGCAAGTTTTAGAGTCTCTATACTCCAGTTAACTATTTATCAGTTACTAAATTAGTTGACGAGTATTTCAATAATTGAATAATCATGATTAATCCAATGAATTGTTTCAACCCTAGAGCTAGCATTATTTTTCAACGCTTCTCTAGGTTGGATATGTAGAGCTCCCCCTACAGATTTGGTGGAGGATAGCTCTTTAGATTTTAGCAACTTAAAGATCCAGTGCAGCTTATATATGCATGTTTCCAGTTAAAACAAAAAACTTAGTGGTGCAGCTTATACTGAGGTTTGCTCTATAGTAAGGAAAATACTGTACATTTACATCTGTCTTATATTTGATACCTTTTTTTTTAACAATGTTTATGTCAAGGCTTAAGCTTTTACTCAGATGGCAAGATATATGGTTCATTCATTTAGCAGTTTAATTGGAACGGTATCGGATATCGGCTGATACAGTCCACCCAGATATCGATATCTGATTGCATCAGAAAAAAATGGATCACTGTTTTTCACTGCCAAAATTTACCCATTGATACAAAAGTCTAGAAATCTATAAGAAACAGTGTGGCAGGGTGCCAGCCTATAACACCATCCCCATTAAAAAACATGTACTGCAAAACAATAGAGTAAACATACTCAGTGAGACTAACTGTAAAGTAAACCAGCATTAAATCACTTAGTGTTTTTCCTAGAACTCCTCTTAAATAACTTTATTGATTACACTACATTTTGTTTTTAATATATAATCATAACAGGATTCAAAATATAATTTCAGGGTGTCCCAGAATGATCATAGAGTCATTACATGTATTACTTTAAGTTCAGAAGTTTGTATACAATGAGGTAAATGTCTACAAACAGGTTGGACAGGTTTCATGCTATTCAAATGCTATCCAATTTGCCTTATTGTAGACACATTTAGCCTATTTAGAAATAACCAGGTCCATCCACAATCAGTACCAGAAAGAAGTTCAAGATAAATGCAAAAAAAAAATGTTTCTCAGTTATAAATTTTATGTCAGTATTTTATCTTAGATTTTTTTAACCTAAACAATATTTAAAATCCTAATAAAAATACATATAATAGAAAATGATTTTTCCAACCATGAACAAATATCAAGTAATAAAATATAAAATTGTATTAACTAAAACTTAATTTCTTTTGTGACATAAAAAAGTAACAGAAGTGATAAAAGAAGTACTATATTTTTTAAGAGAGGTCGCTGTGTTTGAATAGCCTTGTCATTATTGATTTTGTGCATTACTGCTTTATATACTAAAGTTCTAAATTGTGGGGCTGTGCTACCAGCTCTATACAATATATGTTTCAGATCTGAATGAGACCTCCTGGTTAAAAAACACAACAAAATAGCAAAATAAAATATAACAATGTAAAAAAAAAAA